TGCCATACTGACATAAATGAACATTTGCACAATATTCTAATTTTTTGAGTTTCACCTGTAGTGTGAGTTATTATGCTAGCATGCATCTAGTTGATAACGATAATATATTAAACTTGTATGCCACCTGACTCCTAGCAACCTGGGTGGATCACAACAATCAAACAAAGAAATTAAGAATGAAATCAATAAAAGATAAAGATAAAAGATGGCAAGCACGATGAAGGGAGGGGTCTCACTCTTCCTCACCAAAGGCCTGGGTGAAGAGCCAGGTCTTCACGTCTAAACAACAGAGTGGGGCCATCTGGATCTCAGGAGGAACCTCATTCCAGCGGGCAGGCACTGCTACAGAAAAGGCGCACTTCTGGGGTCCTGCGTGCACCAACACCAGTCAGAACCCTGAATTGCACATGGGAGTAAACTGGCAACCAGTGCAGCTTGCAAAGCAGAGGCATTACTTGGGTGTACCAAGGCATGCCCATCACTGCTTGTGCCTCTGCATTCTGGACCAGTTGAAGTTTCTGGGTAGCCCCATGTACAGCTTGTTGTGGTAGTCAAGCCGCGAAGCGATGAGGGCACGAGTGACTGTCTGACAGGTCCCCCATGCTCAAATGTTGAGTTTCTATGTTATTTGTAGACGCATCTTCTAGAAAGCACTTGACCACATAATCCTGCTGTCAGTGAATGAATCAAAAAGATACGAGTGCATGCATACAATTTGTTTTTGTATATTCAGATAACTGAGTTAAATGTATTTAAATTTCAAAAATGAAACTCTACAGTGCAGATCATAAATGTACCATTGTACCCATTGAGAATAGGGCAATCAGCAAGTGCTGTTTTTTTATGGATTTTTTTTTATTGGATACAAATAGCATTCCTGCTTCATTTTTAATCAAGTCTTATGTTACATATTTATGGTTTTTATGAATAAAGAAGTTTGTGGCTTGCCCTCACCAAGCATAAAACACTAAATTAATCCCATGAACCATGCAATCACAACCGGCTAGCGAGACAGTTATAACTTGAGTATCTGGTTGGATAATGATATTCTGAGACAAGTTAATGTATTAACTTGTGGTATGTAGAAGATTCTTGTTGCATTTTGGCACCTCCCAGGCATCCATTGCTATCCAGGGATGATGTGAGCTTACATTTCAAAACAAAAATGTTGCTTAATTATTTATTGCCTTAGCAGCTTCAAGTCATTTAAATTTATTCTCATGGTAATTATCAATAATAGGATTTTAAACAGTAGATAAAAGTTGATAATTCAGCAATGGAGTTTGATTCAACTAAGGAAATCCTTCAATTGGCATTTATTGCTATATACCATTGTTTTATATTGTGACAGCTAATATCTTTCAATGTAGAAGATAGCTCTTTCAGGTAGGTGTGGAGTTTGAAGAGTAGGAGGTAGAAGAACAACTTGTTCTGGGAATTATACATCATACGTGTAATTTTGTAAATTATAAAAAGAATATACCTAATAATGCTATTGTAGTTATTAGTGCTGGTAAAAAGGAATCTTTTTGCTTGAATGTTTTTTGCCCCCATCCTTGAATGCAAGAAGTCTGAGCTGATGTTCCAACTTTGGGATAGCAGTAACTATTTTGTGTCACATTGAAATGATACTAGGGGTAATTTCCCTTTCTCATTTACTCTCACCATTTTTGTAGCAGCTTATATTTATAAGTTTCAATGGAACAGAGTTCCTTGGCTCCTTCTTGCTTAGTTCCAGGGGGGGAACACATCCAATCTGCAAGAATGACCCAGAGTAACCAGTTGGTAGTTGATACCCTGACATCCTGATACTATTATTCTTACAGATGCCTTTTTCTGTAACATTAATTTGAAGTAGAAACATGCAGGTAGTAAGCATTTATTTGACTACACTAGTGAATAATTTGAGGACTGATTTGCTCTTTAACTGGGAAGGTGTTGCATTTGTCACCAAGACTGGAGACTTTTTGGCCATATCATTGAAAACTTCATGAAAGTTGATGTGTCATCATCCATAACTGATGGCTAGATCACACCCCCTTGAGCTCAGATCCATTTTAGTTGTGTGTATGATAGTGGGACGCTGAAAGTCAACCTGTGTCTTTTCCCCAGTCATCAGACAGGAGACATGTTCATCCCTCATCAGATTATTCTCAGAAAAATTGATTTTCTTAAGAGGTATGGACTGGTTCCAGCCTTCTTTCTCTTCTAAGACTACCTCAGAAGGAGATTGTAGCTGTAATCTGTCTGGTTTATACATGCCCAGCCCTGACTCTTCAATGAAGCTGTACATGCTCTGGATATGTCGGTGTGGGCAGATCCTCATGCATTTAGGAATAGGGGCATGAAAGTTGTACCCAGGTAGCCTCAGTAGCAAATACAAAATTATGGTCAGGGTAACAAGTTTTTTGAGTAAACTAAAGGCCAAAGTGCAGTAATAGGACTGCAGATCAAATAAGGCCTGTGCTGTCTTATGAACCTGAAGCCATTCAGTACCCCTTAGGTAAAATCTTTGAGTCATGTTTGACCAACGGGGCTTACATGGATATGTGAATGTTATTTTCTTAGCACAAAGAAGTAGTTTACCTCTGCTGCCTTCTGGGACATTTTTTCGATTTCCCAGTCTTGTCTATCATCATACAATTTCTGGGTGGCCTTCCATCCAAGGACTACCTGACTCTGCTTAACTTTTTCAAGATTAGCCAACGTCAGCTGGGTACTGCCACCTCCTGTGACCAGTAGTGATTCAGAAGAATTAAGTTTCTTTATATGTATTGTATCTTTAAAAGTATCTTTATAATTTAATATTTACACATTTTAATCAGTGGTCTTTTCCAGCCCATTTTTGAGGGGATTGATTTGCCTGCATCGATCTGTTACCATTAAATTGTTTAAATGGCAGTTATTTTCATAACAACAAAGCTATGTCATTGAAAATAATGATAAACATTGAATCATACAGAGGTAAAGATAAAGAAACATACAGATATAAATATCTTTAGTTGAACAGATGTAGTTGTTGTTGTTTAACAATACTTTTATTTTACAGTGTCAGTTTTGTGACAAAGCCTTTATGAACTATTCCTTCCTGCACAGTCATTTGCAGCGTCGCCATTCGGAAGAACCGCTCACTGGTGAGTTTTTGATAAATAAATAAATAGGTTTCAGAACTGACATCCAAACCATAATTTTTCTTGTCTGAAAAAGGCAAACAAATGCAGTGGGTGCTACTCAGAGAATGAGGAGGGGGCCTGGTTTAGAGAGCCATTTAATTACTAGGAAGTCTAGCATGCTTATTACTTCTGCCAAAATGCAAGGACTTACTAGTGATTAAATTAAAAAAAATTAAAGTGAATTGTACAAATGCAGTTTGTACAATTTGTGTGTGTGTGTGTGTGTGTGTGCACGCATGTATGGCTTATATCTAGATACAGTATTTTTAAATTTAGGCTTTATTTTTTAATGAATTTTAAATTTTCATTTATGATCAGAGGAAAGGATCTGTTATGAAAAAGATACTTTATAATATATGAGTAAATTGATCTTGGACTGTAAATAAATAAATGATGTGACTATCAATATGAAATCAGTGTCTGTATTTGCTTTAAAAGGTGTATCAAATGTGCTTATCCATCAGTGCATCACAAAACATGCCTTCTTATATGAGTATGACTTTATATCTATGAAATTATAACTTTAAAAAACAGTTCTAGGTTGATTCCATTAATAAAAGGAAATAAAGATAATTTCAACTTATTGTGTGGTTCTACTACCAAAAGCATTTAATGCTTCACCCTAGCATTATGTAGCTATTACTCATTTTCTTTTCTGTGAGATAATTGGACATAATTTTCTTTTCTGCAATGTAACAGGTCACAATTTTCTTTTCTGTGACATAAATGGATGTAATTTTCTGTGACATAATTGGACTCTGTGTTTTAATAGTTTGGAAATATTTGCATAAAGCAGAGGTAAATCAAAGACAGTCTATCTGTATTCTACTTTTTAAACAAATTGTTTACTTCCAATTATTGCAGCTTCTGACTGATTAAATTGTAGCGGATTGGTTTTAAGGTGCTAGCTCAAAAATAGATCATCATATGTAATTTTTAGGAGCTTAATTGTCTTCTCAGATACAGTTGTTTTTCTTTCACATGCAAGGGCTTAAATTTAATGATCACAGACAGTATGGATAAAGAGAAACCTAGGCTATCAGTTCTCAGCTGCAAAACCTCTAGTATGATCTAATGGTCATACGGATTTTTGCAGCTTAGATCTGCAATTTAACATTTCTGGAAGAGTGAAAGTTGATGTGAAGAGCATCTCCTCACAATATTCATTACAAATATTTGTTTTTCTCTATAGGGTTGATCTTTTGACAGGGGTAGGCGGTGTGAATGGTTCAAAATGTTTGAAGGGTTCAAAACTGATTGAGGATAGCACAGATTGTTTACAGCCTATGATGTTATCAGGGCACCCAGAACTTAGCCATCATTCATTTATTTTGTGTATGTATATGTATAAGAAAGAGAAAAAGGCTTAATGAAGCAAAACAGAAAACTGTGTTGGTCTTGGGTTCAGTTTGACAGGATGTCTGTCATACAAATTCTTCAGCATTGTGGCTGAGGAGAAATCAGTCAAAGTGGTTGAAGGGGAATATGCCAAATATAGTTTCTTTGATTTGTTCACTCACTGTGATCATGCTTTAAGATTGGATAATACTTATATTTATTGTTATTTGAGATGGAGTTCAACTATGCTGGGGAAGGAGTTATTCCTGTTCCTTTCCTCCCACTGCTCATTCCAAAAAGAAGAGTGGGAAACCTGTGACCCTCTAGATGTTCTATTGGCAGTCCCAGTGAGTATGTTCAATGTGAAAAAAGCTGTGAGCTGTAATACAGGGACATTTAGAGGGGTGTAAGTTCCCCACTCTGACTTAGGACGTGATTGGGGGATGTTGCATTTGAAGGGAAGAGTGATCTGAACTCTGATAATGGAGAATTTTCTCGTAGGCTAGTATTTGTAAAGTATGTTAAACTAATGATTGCAAAAGTAACTCATGGTTTTTCTAGAGTGTTTATTGTTAAAGCAGCTTGGAGGGGTCCCTGTTGCATCTTTCAGATGACAGTGTACTGAGGAAAGTACCTAGCATTATAATCCACAGGAAGAAATCATACTTCAAATGTCTGTGTAGGTAGAACTGCATTTCTCTGAAGTATATTAACAGGCACTATCACCAGTATGCATTCTTTGAAGCAGATCAGAAGAAAAAATCACAGACTGATAAACTGCAGGAGGAGATCAACCAACTGAAGGAACAGTTAGAACTTACCAGGTCTCAGTTAGAAGCTGAGCAGCATGCCCATATAGCCAAACTGTCTAAGGTAGGGCATATTCTGTACCACTCAGTTTTTAGGTATCATTCAGTTATATGTTACTAATTAAGATTATAATTCTAAACCAGTATCAACAATCAAAGAAGAAAGTGGCTAGCCTTGTCTAGTACCTTTACACTTTACAGAATGAAAAAGTGGATGGAAAAAGACCATTGACTTTCATCTTAGATTTGGTGGTCACATACAAAATCTGGACCCCTCTTATACATTCTTTGAGAAATTCCAAAGAATTGTCTATACTACCCATGGATTTTATCAAAAACATTTTTCTCAACAAGCGATAGAATTTCAACTTTGCCTTTTCTGTTTTTATTTAAATCAATCAGTACCACTACAACCTGAATATTATCTGATTCATGTCTGGTTTTGATGAATCCAGCTTTATTATTCTTGACCACTGAAAAAATCACTTGCTGAAATCTGTTGTCCAAAACAGCATTTAAAATTTTAATGTCTGCATTAATCAGTGAATGGATGTTACATAAACGTAGCGTATAATATTTAGCAGATTTGGTATAACTGTGATAGGTGTTTCATTAACTGAAGATGATGATACTCCAGCGTGATGTTGTCCTAGCAACTAGCCAGGTTAAAGGGAGTCAGTATACATTTTCACACAGCACCATTTCCACTACAAATCTTTTTCACTGCTCAGCAGTCCTCTAGTTAGATTGAAATATTTTACAATCCATACATCACACTAAATTATGATAAGGTTTGATTGGTTTGGGATTAGCATCATTATCAGTAGGCAGGAATTGTAGAAAAGGACCTTCTGGGGCAAGATTTCTCAGAATAACTTCATTCAATTTCAGGAATATGAAGAACGCAGGTCCAAAGAGGAGGAGATTCGACAGTTATTTCACAAGTGGAAAGAAGAAGAAAAGGAAAAATTGGCCAGTGAACTTGAGAAGGTGAAAGAGATGTTTATCAAGGAATTTAAAGAATTAACTGCAAAAAATTCAGAATTAGAAAATGTAAGTAACTGAAAAATTGGATGGTGTTCTTTATAACATTGGAGAAGACGTGAGAATTTCTAAGTGTAGAACTTTGTAAAAATCTTAATATACTGATCTATCTTGCCACAACAAATTCCTTCCTTTCCATTCCACTCCCATTCCTGCTGAGGGCTGTTGGAATAATCCTCAAGCTGAGGACTGTTTTCATCAGCAGCAGCTAAGGCTGTGCCTCAGAAGTCCTCCAAACAGAACGAAGGGCCCTGCTCATCAGTTCTGGAGAGCTCTCTCTTCTCTTCCCCCTCACCCTACTTATTGGTTACTTTCCTGGAAAGGATCTGAGGGGTTTAGTTGAGCACACATCCCTCTGAACTTAAAAAGAAATAATTGTACTTTAGTTTATATTTCTGTGGTGGTTTATTATTTAAATAATTAGAATTCAAGAAAATGGCTAGATTTCCAATATAGGGATTGGTGGTAATTGCAAAAAATACTCTGCTGTTTAGAAGTATTTTCTAGCAGAATATACCAGCTTATTCATCTTTCAAAAGAGAACTTTGAATTTATTATTGCTGCTGTTGTGCCCCTCTTAGCATTTGCTAGAAGTACAGAAGTCCAACCAACATCTGAAATCCAATTTAGGCACATTAAAAGATACCTATGAATTAACAGAAGAGAAGCATCAAACTGCTATGGATCATCATAACATAATGCAGCTTCTTGAAAAACAGGTAATTTAACACAAATGTCAGGCATTGTGATTTCAGACTCCAGGTCCCATGTATCTAGTTTAAACAGGGAGACAGAATTAACATGCACGTGGCCTTCCCTCATCTCCTTGTACGTTGCACACTGTTCCCACCAATTCCAAGAATGAACATGCTGGCTGGGGATGATTGAAATTACAGTTCAATTCATCTGGGGACCTGGGCTAGTGAAAGCAGAATTAGATATCTCAGGTATGTTGATCTGCTACTTCTACTTACTTAAGGGAAAGATTAGTTTTCAGTCTCACCAGGTTATATATTTCCTTCCAGAGTCAGGATCAGTTGTGCTTTAAATTGTTAAAAGGTGGTTTCAGTTTTTTGTCTTGTTCTAAAATATGACATAACGTATACCTGGGTTGAGTGGACTATTTGCCTTCTTTCATCTGAATGGCAGATTCCCCGCCCTTAATGCCATAACCTCTGAGATACCCCCATCCCCCCCACCCCAGAGTTTCCCACAAACCCTTGGAATCTGATTTTTGATAAGTAGGTACTCTAGAACTTCCAGAGCACAGCTGCATTATTGGTAAGATCCCAGACATCAAAATTGCAAGCTAAATTAGTTCATAACATCTACTGTGGATTCAAATGAAGCAGTCAGCTGGCTCAGTAGCCCAGACATGAGCATGAAATGATCTAGGCAGCTAACTTGGGCACAGAAAGCAAAAATAAATTAATTTCACAGTGTGGTTCTAGTCTCAGATAACCCATTTGAATTTACTTTCTTAGTATAAGCAATATGGACTTATTTAATAACTGCCACGTGTTCACCCTTTAATGTTAAGGTAGTATAACGAATTGTGATGTTATGCCAGTATCACAGCTTTTACGCTCCATGGCTGCTTTTCTGGTGCGGTAGTTCATACTGGGACTTCATCTGTATTGCGAATTTGAAACAGGTTGATACTTGGATTTCAATAAAACAAAATTAAGAAATATAAAATTAAGACATTGTTCAAATTATTCCACTTGTTTTATGTAGGAAGCTAAGTGGTCTTCTAAGGTACAAGCTCTTCAGGAAGAACATGAAAATGAAAAGCACCAGGTAAAGCTGAATGGAAGCTTCCTACATAGCATTAAATTATGTAAAAATGGATATTTATTACATGAGAACTTGGTAAACCATTCAGAATGGCTGTTTAAAATCCACTTTAGATATGTAAATTTTCATTCACCCATCCTCCTCCCACACTTTCTCAGTGAAGCTGCATGAAGCTATTTCACATTCACTTCTTTTATTGAAAAATAAGCTGCAGAATGCAGGAGTATGTGCCTTTTGATACAACAAGACTTACTTTGAACTTGCTCAGTTAAATTCAGATTTTTCTCTGTGAATGTTTGAGCTGGTAAAGCCAAGAATTCCAATGGGGACACCTCATCTTCCCCCACAGAAGTGTTCTATATATGACAGAGGTTATGCAGGAAGTACAGGCTAAAGGCTATCTTATAAACCATGAACAAGGTAAATATGTGGGGTTTTATCTGTATAAAAGGAAGACTCAGGAAAGGAGTTTCGCAAAATGGAGAAATGTGTAATGATGCAGTTAAAAGTGTCACACAATATCAGGATATCTGCCTTTCATTTTTTTTCAAAGGAAAAAAGCTGCAAACTATACAGTCTGTTATGCCCATAATGCAGTTGTCTGGTTTTGACTGATTGTGATATCTACACAAATCTTTTGTGTGTCATCAGAACCCTGTTGAGTAAGATAGGCACCCTGATGCTCTCTTGTTGTTGTTGAGAGGGCCCCAAATTGCCTAACCATACCAAAGAGGACAAAAGAACAATAAATGGATTATCTAATTCCTTTAGAGAATAAGCCTGTTTTGTAGATCTAAATTATTTCTCATAAAAGGGAAATGTGCCAGTTAACTTCCCATAGCAGATATATTTCCATTTCCTATAACTGAGGGGGAGCAGGGTCCAACCTTTAACCTTTATGAACAAAAAAGGTTAACCTGGAAGGAGGAAAGTTAGACCAGTAATTTTATTTTAGGTAAGACACATTTAGCATAAGATAAACATAAGGTTTCTAGTTACATTTAAACCAATTGACTTTTTCATATTTGACCTATTCAGCTCACATCTCAAATAGAGAAGCTCAAAGCATCAGTGGCTGAGGATCTGAATACGAGCAACATTTTCTATAAGAAGAGGCTAGAAGAATTAGGACAAAAGCTGCAAGAACAGAATGATCTTATTATTACCCAGAAGCACCAGGTCTGTTCCATGTAATGGTGCCCTTTTAAAATACCAGAGCATGGGCAAAAGGCCCATCTTTATAAAAAGTAGAAAAATATGGATGGAATTTTAGTAACTACACAAGTAAATATTTTCTAACCTTATACACTTCTCATTTTGCTTTCTTACAATCAGTGATTCTGGTTCCTTTAGTACTTAGGGTGGTTGCAAGTTAGCAGTACGGCATGGCTGCTAAAAGGTGAATACAAGTTTAGGCTGCATCTGGGCATTGCTTTTTAAAGAATTAGTCAGAAAAATGGGAAAATGTGCAGAATATGAACGATCAGGGGTCTGGAGACTCAGCTTTACAAGAAGAGGCTTAGGGAGCTGGGCTCAACAGCCAGAATTTGGATGGATGACTGTCAGGAAATTCCAGGACCATGAAGTCACTAGAACCAGTTCTTGAAGGTCCTTTTTGTCACTGGGCCAGCCTTGACGGTACTATAATGAGCCAACTAATTATAGCCAGGAATAGTCTCCTCTTTCTCTCCAAGAGAAAGCTACTATACGTGCTTGTCCTTATTACTGGGACCAATTAAGAGCTGTTCATCTGGAGGGGAGACCTTGTGCAGGGAGCAGGTATTGCAACAGCATCATTTGGGTTCCCATCTGATAGGCTGGGGATGAAGTCCTGTAACCTATCTGGAAGCATTTACTTCTCACCTTATTTTGTCCAAATGGGAGATGCTTAGCTAGCACTGTACAAGCAAATTCTCATTTCTGTGTGTGTCTCCACTGTTTTCTATCTCTGTAATTTCAGATAGAGAAACTGGCTTCAAAAAAACCAGTAGAAAATTTAAAGTCATCTGAGGGTAAGTGGGAATTTTAAGGAAGAAAGTTTAAAATGTGCCATAAATATTTTTTTTCTTTATTGTAAAACTGCTTCTGAGAAGAAGAAAAAAAAACCCTTGTTTGGAAATATATGTAGCTTATATCCTTTCACTTTTGTGTCCTAGTGAAAGCTTCAGTGCAAAATGTTCAGCCTAAATCAAGCCCATCATCTGTGCGTGGTAGGTTTCTGTGATGGATATGTAAATCCTTAGGTATTGTCCTCTGGGATAATAATAAGTAAGCTAAATTTAATTAATGGAACAATCTTTTTTTTTTTTATTAAGCTGTTCTGAAATATATTGGAAGGATCAGTCACCGTATTCATTGATGTAAATGTAACTTGCTGGCATTTTCTTTCTGTGTAATAATTACTTCTACTTAAACTCAAAATTGAAGGTTTTTTACTTTAGAGCATAAAACTTCATTGTAATCAAATTAATTTGTGGCTGGCTCAATAGATTTTGGAATTGAAGCAGAAAATCAATCCTTTCTCCCAGCTGTAAGAATATTATATTATCAAAAGAGCATCCAGAATCAGCCGTCTAAGGTTAGTTTAATCTGGAGCAAGCACCTTGAATAAAGTTGCAATAATAGGACATTTTAAAAAAAACTTAATTAAAATGTGTTTTATCTCAAGTGGTTTCTAAATATGCAAAAGATGTGAGAAAATGGATACGCTGGGAGGCTTGTTGAGAGGCAGCGTAGTGCTCACAGGTGCCACTGTGCCTGCAGAACCATCACCCATGCTTTGCAAAAGGCTCTGGTAGATCTTGGGATTTATTTCATTTGTAACATTTAATTGCTTTTCTACTTGGCCAGGAGCACTTCAAGGAGAGGAAAGTATGTTTGGAAAGGGATGGTTCTAAAGGAGAAAGTGGAGAGGGTGGAGAGTGAATGAAATGAGGGTTTAGTGGTAAGAGAGAGAATGAGTTCAGAAGAGAAGACTGAACGAACAGATTTGTATTTTTAAGGCTCGGTCCCACCTCTGAGGCATATTCAGGAACAGAGCAAGTTATATATATTTTTGCCTCATTTATTTGCTTGTTATAAAACGGGGTTATGCTAGAGTAGAAAATGTGTTGGTCCAGTGGACTGGTTTTGTATTCCATGGTGCAAAATGCATTTCTACTTTGTATTTTGTAAGTGAGTTGCTTGTCTTTCAGCCTTGCCAGTTTGCCTTTCTGTGCTAATTGGTCAGAGCCATTTTTATGTGGAACCTGAGGCAATTCCTTAAGATGTCAGATGTGCTCATTGGAAACCACAGCTTTGGAAGACTGAATCTCTCTAGCATTTCACATATAACGTTAATGATTATAGAGGTGCAATCTCCTTCAGTGCCAGGAATTGTATCACATGATAGCTGCCAACTCAAATAATTGGATTGTTTAGATCTGAAAGTTTAAGATGTGGGGAATCTTTATCTGTCATTGCTAATAGCTGCTCAATTTCCTCCACTTTGTACAGGTATCAGTGTTATTCTCTCAAATAAGTATAGATCATTACTTGTAATAGCAGATACCGTTTCTTGAAGCTACCTTTGAGTAGCAATTGAATTTTGAATCTTTGCTATTTCTGAACGTACAAAAAAACAGTCTAACATTTGATCAATATTCAAAGTTCTCAGTATTCAGCATTCCATATTCAATCTGGACATATTTAGGTATTTCATTTGGGTTATTTTATTAGTGATTGCCTGTTTAATTTCCACAGGTTTTTCTATCTCTGTGTGTCTCTCTTCCTCCACCTCCACATTCTTCTTGCCTTTTTATAATTATTGCTTTAAAGTAAAATTTGTAAGAACATAGGTATCCACAACAAACTTAAGTGACAAATGAGGAAACATAATTTGCAAATTTCCTACTTGTGTCTTGATACTAGGTGCAAATAGTAAGCTGCCAGGTTTGCATTGCACCACATGTATTATTACAGCCATATTCTGTGTTGCAATCCTCACAGTGCAGTCCATTGAAGCTTTTCTAAATTGGATGGTTGAACACCTTATTTCAGCTTGGGCCTTGGGATTTTCTCATTACAAATTTTTGAGGATAAAATTTCTCAGATTTGCTTTGAACTGTTACTAGTAAAATGATACTTCCTTTGATGGATTAATGTTTTGACATGAGCACATGGACAGTGTGTTGGCTAGAAACAGCCAAAACACTTTTTACTCAGCCTTTGCTTTTTATGGCTTAGTATATCTATCAGAAGAGGATCAGCTGTTTAGGAATTGATTAATACAGCCTTAAGGCAAGAGTAGAGATTGAATTGACTGTTTCTGCAACCTGACTCAAATAATCTTTCTCCCCAGTCCCCGCAATATCTGTATATGGCGAGCAAAATGGTGTAAGGAAAAAGATTCTAAACCCAAATCCTAATTTCTGTTGCACTGTATGACGGCAGGAGGAAAAAAAGCAAATCTCCTCATGACCTTATTGGTTTAAACCCCAAAACATACTATCTATCCATTCAACCTGCAGTTGTGATTAGTGGTTGAAAAACAAATTGTGCATGATAATAAATATTTCACATGTGCATATCTCTGTAGCTATAGGCAGGTTACAATTTGTATAAAGTTGATCATGAGTTACTGCATTTGATTGGGCTCTAATCAGAAGATGAATATGCACGTGGTACTATTCCATACATTTTTTAATGGTTTTCATTCTCTGGGCCTTATCTTGACCTCTTTCTATCCTGTCTGTCTCTTTGTTTCTGCCGTTATTGATGTGTTTCCTCATTATTAGAACAAGCCCTCTTGGTACCCATGCTGGAGCCCATAGAGGAGCTTCCAGAGAATGAAAAAGGTAATCAACAGGACCAGTTGAAGCTTTTGTGGCCTAAATTCTTCTTGCATTACGTATGTGTGTGTGTGTGTGAGAGAGAGAGAGAGAGAGAGAGAGAG